TCCTTTATATACGGGGGCAGGGGGCACCCCATAGACACACAAGTTGATCCACGTGATCTTATTCTTAGCCGTGTGCGGCGCCCCCTGCCACCATAGTCCTCAATAATATTGTAGCGGTGCTTAGGCGAAGCCCTGCGACAGTAGTACATCAAGATCGTCACCACGCCGTCGTACTGACGGAACTCTTCCCCGACACTTTGCTGGATCGGAGTCCGGGGATCGTCATCGAGCTGAATGTGTGCTAAAACTCAGAGGTGCCGTAGTTTCGGTGCTTGATCGGTCGGGCCGTGAAGACGTACGACTACATCAACCAAACGCTTCCGTTGTCGATCTACAAGGGTACGTAGATCACACTCTCCCCTCGTTGCTATGCATCACCATGATCTTGCGTGTACGTAGGAAATTTTTTGAAATTACTACGTTCCCCAACACATGGAGGCTCGACGCATGGATGAATCCAAGGTGATGAAAAATATTCGCCAAGGTGAAGTTTGTTAGAGTTGTGTCGAATATTATTGTACAAGGTAGGTTACAGTTGTACTTGGTTTTGGATTGTGTATAGACAGGGTAGGAGTTGTGTCCTAATAGGACACTTGTATCCTAGGCCTCTCATATATAGTAGAGGTAGACACACGATGTAATATATGCCAACATAATAGCACAAGCACGCGAGAGAGCCGGCAACATGTGCCGGCGCCCGGGGTGCGATGTTGTAGCGGTGTCACGGGGAGGAGCGCCCATAGTCAGATCGTCGAGAATGTGGCCATATCGATAAACCTCGTTAATAAATTAGGTGTCGTGCTTTGTGTGATTGCTTGGTCCTTGATAGATTGACGATGAAATTAGATTTATTCTAACAGAAGCACCGTGTAATCCTGATAATGTTGAAGAACACTGCGTCTGAAGAATGCATATGTACTCCTTTGGTAAAGAAATATAAGAAAAGTGATCTAAACGCTCTATATTTCTTTTCAGAGGGGGTATGTGTGTCGCATTATATTTCCACCCAGTACATTCTGCGGTTACACCTGCCCGGCTACTCACATGACACGCACGCTCTGTACACGTCTAAAACTGCACCTGAACCCGAAGATGGAAGATGCATGACTGCTGCATCCGCATGAACATTCCGTGATGTACTGTGCTTGAGACCGAGTCTGAGCTCTGCGCCTTCCTGTCCGGTTGTATCCTATCCTTTGCCCTCTCGTCTGTCTCTGTGCGCCGTACGCGTTAGGTGGAGCGCGTTCAGGTCAAAGGATTAGGTGAAACGGCACACACATGCATTCTCCTCCGTCCGTCCGTTGATTTCATTCATGTAAAAAGCACAGCAGCATCGTCATCATGCACCCTGTGCGAAAACGATCCATCATAGGAGCAGGAAAACCAACTAAAACTAGCCCATTGCCTTTGCTGTTCCTGCGCTTTGGCATCGCATCGGTTCCCTGACCAGCCAGGCGAGGCACCCTACCGATATTGTTTGTTCATTCAAAAGCCAACGAAAACCCCGGCCCTCCTTTTGCGTTCTCAATGCGCCCCAGGTCTTGATCCCTCGATCATTTGTCCAAAAGCTGGCAGAAAATTCACACGTTTCAGTCCTAGACAAGTGATATATACTAGTATGTGAGTGAGGCCGCCAGCGCGCGAGCGGCGAAAATGATACTGCGCCGAGATGCCGACCAGCTAGGCGCCGGCGGCGCTTTGAGTGAGCCGCACCCAAGGCATTCCGTCCGTCCGGTTCCATTCCCTTCACGGTTCACACGCTGCACCCACACCGAAAGCATTTTGTCGACGAGAAATCATATCAGCAAAAGGGAGCTGTCACTGGCTACTAGTTCTTTTTTAAAAACTTTGTATACTTAAATAATTGTTCGTGCGTTCCAACTTGAGCATGGACATTCTAGTAGATTAGACCGTGACTGCATGTCTGCACGTTAATGCACTAAAATTTTAGCAAAATTTTATACGCAATCACCATGATTTATCTGTCATCTTATTGTTTAGAACTTATATTGAGCAAGTTTTTATACGCAATCATCATAAGTTACATGTCATCTTCTTGATAACACTTGTATTTGATAAGAGCTTACCAAAGAAATTATTGTTTTCTTTTAGAAAGTTAATAAGACATGATACGGTTAAGTTGATTTTAGAAAAATATAAGATAGAAGAAAATTCAAACATGAAAGGGAGAGAGAGAGAGAGAGAGAGAGAGAGAGAGAGAGAAGGGATGGGGGACGTGAGATTGGACGAAGGAAAGGTGAAACGGAAAGCTTATGTTTTTTAGTAAGTAGAGAGATGGAGATTTAGTAGTAGAGATTTCGCACCGGAAATTATGAGAGGGGACGTGGAGATCTGATGTGTATAAATAGACCTCTCAACCTCCGGTCCGTTGTGCGACACCGCTACATCCACAGTGCTGGGGTTTGGTGACTGGTAACATACATCCATCGTCATATATCCTTTGCATCCTTTCCAGTGCCAACGTCTCTCGTTCGCACTCTCCTTCCTCATATCGTCGACCATATGGCGTCCCCCTCTGCCGCTCTCCTCGCGCTGCTCGTCGTCGCGGGCTGCGCGTGGATGGCCGCGGCCACGTCGTACACCGTCGGCGAAGCGAAGGGCTGGGTGACCGGCGTCGACTACTCCGGCTGGACCAGCGGCAAGTCGTTCGCCGTCGGCGACACGCTAGGTGAGCGACCGAGCTCTTCGCCGTCGGTGACAAGCACGAGTATACTGCATGCACGTACTACGTGTTGAAATTGTGTTGAGATTTTGCCTTGCAGTGTTCAGCTACGTGAGCAAGGTGCACACGGTGACGGAGGTGAGCCAGGGCGGCTACACGTCCTGCTCCGGCAGCAACGAGCTGGCCAACGATGACAGCGGCGCCACCACCGTCACGCTCGCGACCCCCGGCACGCACTACTACATCTGCAAAATCCCCGGCCACTGCGCCAGCGGCATGAAGCTCGCCGTCACCGTCGCCGGGGGCGGCTCGTCCCCGGGAGGCTCCACCCCGTCCGGCGCCTCCGCCGGGGGCTCCCTGGCCCCGGCGATGGGCGCCGTCGTCGCCGCGGCGGCGGGGGCTCTGCTCAAGGTGGCGCTGTTCTGAACGTCGGCGGGCGTGCCAGGGCAGAGGCAGTGCAGGTCGTCGGTCGCTTTCGAGGTTTTCGGTCGTCTTAATTTCCTTAAGTTTTCTGGGGGCGCCGTTCTTTTACGCGCACTCGTGTCGTGTATGCACGTTGGGCTGTGTGCCCCCCGGTTTTTCGTCGTGCCTGAGCATTATGGAGGATTGTGCGTTTTGTGCCGAAATATTTTCTTTTGCTGAAGAGTTCTGCGTAATAAAAGTACTTTGTGCAAGAAAAGTCTCTTGTGGTCAAGAGATAGGAGTCGCAATCGTTGTCGACAACACGAGAACAAGCATCATTGTGCTTCAACCACTTCTTTACGGCCACATGCGAACCGGTTGTTTAGGCTCTTATTATCGAGGACCGATTATTGGCACACTAGGGTTTTTATTTTTGAAAACAAATGGCAAAAGATTTGCACGTTTCATTGATTAAAGGGAATGGGTTTTAAGTACAGACAAACAATGGCCATGGCCCATACAAAGAAACAGAAATGATAAAAAAAAACCGACAGTCAGTATTTCAGGATTTGAAACCGAACGTCCTTTTCACCATTGGATTTTGAACACGCATCTTGAAGCATAAGACCACAACCACGCTAGCGAAGGAGATTGTTCGAGAACAAAGTCATCACGAACAAACATATCTACTCTCTTCGCACTACACATCCCCTTCTCTCTCATGTCGCCAACTTCTCCCTTGTCATCTTTCTTCGCGCTGACCACACCGACGGCCTCGGCCCTCCCTCTATGCGCTTCCTGTCTGCGTAGGCGGGCTCAAGGTGGTCGCGGTCTGGAGGAGGAGTGCGACGGGGGAGGTCAAGCGGCGGAGCCGACCCCAAGGCGGTGTTGCCTGCATTTTTATTCAGATGGCAAGATTGCCATGATTTTTAGGGAACGAAGCTAATAGGTTAGTTTTTTTGTTTCCATGTCTCAACATTTGTTGCCATGGCTAATTTTGTCTTGACTTTACATTTTTAGGGGAAAGCATGATTGTTCATCAATTGACGTGGCTATTCATGGCAAAAATAAGTCAACAACTTGTCGTTACCTAGATATCAAAAAGTTTCTCAACTACCAATCTAACCTTTTACACATAATTACATAAATTGCCACGAAAGCATACTTAGTGTTGTTTTCTTTTGCCATTGAACAGTGTTAGTGACATTGCCATTTAGCTAATTTGCCATCAAACAAAGCATGTTGTGTTAGTGTCTTTTTGTTGTCCTCTAGATAGCATTTTAAACTTGTTTTTTTATCTATATTCTTCTGACATAGAAAATCTTTTCTGATACTTTTGCCATGCATGTTTAAGTTTTTTTCTACAAGGGCTCCTTTATCCATACGACACAATCACTCTCCCCTCCAGATTGCTTGGGATAGAAGCCATTATGGCTTGCGAAAAATCCCCATTGTATATCGAAATCGTATGACAGAAGTGGGGAAATAGCTTCTGTGAACAACATGACTTCACTTGTCCCCTGCTCCATGGAAACACTTGGAGGTACTTCAACGAAGCACAGTTGAGCCCAAAGTTGAAGTACACTGAGCAATGCCACGCATGATTCATTGTGCCAAGAAGGACTAACATGCACAAAATTTTGGCATTGATACTACAAACAATGGTTTGCTTCATGATCAAACATCTTCCTATCAACTAGTGTTATGGGGCACCAACAACACAACAAAAACTATAGTGACATGTGAAAGCATTCAACTGAGCACTGAACTGAGCATGATGTATTATCTCTCGCATGGCATTCTCGGCAAGCACCCCACTGACAGATGACAATGAAGATGCATGCACCTATCTTAACTCCAGATCTCTAATACTGGGCAGGGTAATGATAAATCTTCCTAATTCCTGAGTCACATTTCCCATAAAGTTCAACTGTTATAACTAAATTGACATTCCTTGTTGCATCTATCATTGTGCAGCGCCATAACAATATTGCGCTTGCACTCATGACCACTAAGCTTTGCATAAAAAGTACTCGTAACAACTCATTCTTGATCAAAGAAATTTCCTCAATAATCATGGAACTTGTAGCTAAACCCAATAGTCACTCAAACATATAAATATCTCTTTGCACCTTTCCACGCTTCTGATGTTCGAAACTAAGATGGGCCGCATATGGTGTATGACAAACATGCATCATGTGTGTAACCCATACCCAATTCCTAAGGGTGATCTGGAGGGTGAGGTGGACCAGGTGGTAAACAAGGGTCCAAGGAATAGGCCGGCTGGTTAGATGGATGTGGTGTTGAGTGCTCGATGTCAATCTGACAACACTCGTCATACATCTTCTGACCGTGAAGAGCTTCCCGAGCTTGTGTGGCCTCGTGAGGCGATGAAAATGTGACAAAGCCAACACATGGTCTATCTTCTCGAGCACCATCATAAACACACCCTTCCCACTGCCATAAGGATCGGAGACCATATGAATCACCTCTTCCGTCATATGATAGATTGACTCATGGATGGCCACTGGTAAGATGCAGTTCGAGGACTTCCTCTTGTTGAACCACGTTCAGAGGTGAACCGGGCATTCGATATAACACCTTTTGGGCACCAGGTCAGTGCTCACCTTCCCTTCCATGGTTCCTCACTCCACAGTCCACTTGAGTGAAACCTTAGCGGCCTTTCCTCCAAATCAACCAAACTCCAACTAGGAATTATGCCATATCAAGCCCAAAAGTGATCAACAATAGTCGTGGTGGATGTTACCAGTACGATCAAGAGATTTTGAGCAGCGCCCTGGATCAAGCAAGCTCTAAATACTAACTGTGATGCCCCAAGAATAACACACCACAATTCAATAACTATTTGATACATGCATGCATGTTTCAGAGAGAGATTTGGGTAACGACAAAAATGGGTTATGAGCAGAGAGATACACGAGAGGGAAAAGAAATCAGTGGATCTCATTCGTCGTTGCCTCTTCTATGCTTTGGTCACTTGTCTTATAGGTGCTGCTCCACCTAGTTATAGTTGGGCCAAGCCCAAACATCACGTAGCAATCCAAGTTATAGCCCAAGGGCTATTGGCATGACAGAACTCCTAACTATGCTCCATGTGGGGTTGAGTCGCATGAGTTATATATTGCCTACTACGAGACGATACTCTGTCTCGCACAAGGTGAGAGCCAGATGGACTGGCCCAATACGGATCATAGGAGAGAGGTTTTTAGGGAATCTTCTATGACCGGTATTCATGTGCTTTTTTATGTTTCTATGTGGTTTGTTGCGGTTCTTGGTTCTTGGTTTTCTGTGTCTCTTTATCAAATTTTATTTTATTTTACTTTTTTTCATGTGTTTCTTTACCGATTTTCTTTGGGGTTTGGGTTTTTCTTTTTCTTCTTTTAGATACATGTCAACCTCTTTCAATACATGTTTTACATTTTCGTATACACCCGTAACATTTTTTCATATATGTTGAACATTTTTCAAAAATGTGCTTCAAACTTTTCAACTACACACTGAACATTTTTTCAATAGTAAAACATTTTTATACAACATGCACATTTTTTTAAAAATATTTATTTCTTACATGTTGTGAACATATTTTAAATGCGCGAACACTTTTTAAATGTCACGGTTTTTTAAATGGTACAAAACATTTTTTACATTGAATATTTTTTAACTGTCACATCATTTTATCGAACATCTAAGATTTTTTTAAATGTCATGTACATTTTTTAATGGTATGATACATTGTGTTAAACTTACATAAACATTATTTTACATTGTATAACATTTTTATAAAATTTTAGGAACATTTCTGAAGTGCGTAATATATTTTTTCTAAATTAGACAAATATTTTTTTACATTGTGAAAACAGTTTTTAACGTGACAAAAACTTCTTCAAAACACGTGAACGCTTTGTAGATGTTATGAAGTTTTTCTTAATGCTATCAACATATTTGAAAAGTCGCCAATCATTAAAAGTTGAGATTTTAAAATATCTACATTTAATTTTGTTTTACCATAATAGAAAAAGACGAAGAAACTACCCAAATGATAACGGCCACACGTGTGGCATGAAGCAATTTCGCCCACATGTTTTTTGATGATAATTTTAGTTACAAGAGGATGACAACTTTAGTTGTGAAGCATGACAATTTTCTGTTTGGATGACAAGTTTCAGTTAGATTTTTTTCTTTTTGAATGGCAATTTTAGTGTAAAAAACGTGTGAACGATGTTAGATCCCACAATCACCATCCAGGAAGGTTATCTCTAGTAGAGGGAATCATCTCCTCTCTCGAGTGTCAGAGCTTATTGATCCAGTGTCAGGTGACTGGGATTCGGGGCTGGTAAACCAAACATTTTGCAGTGTTGATGCTCAGAGAATTCTTGAAATCCCACTACCAGTATATGAAATGACAGATTTTTTAGCTTGGAGTTCTACTAAAACAGGTGTGTTCACCGTAAAATCAGCATATCATGCCGTCTGGGAGTCAAAGTTTGGCCACAATTCGCAGGGTACGCCATGTTCATCCTCGCCAACACCTAGATGGGATTTGGTGTGGAGTTTGAGCTGCCCAACAAAGGTTAAAAAATTTGTCTGGAGAGCACTTCTTAGTGCTATTCCATGTCGTGCAATACTGGTTGATAGACATATCAAGATCAAGCCACATTGTCCAGTATGTAACCAAGGGTCGGAGAGTATCTACCATCTACTATTTGAATGTCCAGTTGCGGTTCAGGTATGCAAACTCCTTGGAGTGATGGATGTGATACAGAAGGGATTAGAGATGAACACATGTGGGGAGGTTGTATTGGAATTTCTTCTTAGTCTACTGAACGATCATATCCATGTGTTAGGATTGCCGAAACTGCGAGAAACTATGGCTACATGTTGTTGGTTTTTGTGGTGGGAAAGGAGAAAAAAAATTACACATAGAGGTGATCCACAAACGGCTCCTCAGATCAACCTTGTTGTACGATCCTTGGCAGAGAACTTCATTGCAGCGAACTCCTCAAGGCCAAAAGTTCGTGTGGGAGGCTGGATGAAACCAAGGACTGGATATGTCAAGTTAAATGTGGATGCGAGTTTTAATCATGACTTACTTGAAGGTTCAGTAGGTGCTGTCATTAGAGACCACAACGACAAGTTCATAGCTGCCGTGAATGAAAAACTTAAAATTTGTTATGATGCCTTCACAGCAGAAGCATTGGCAATCAGATTTGGCCTAAATCTCGCTCGCACAACTGGATGTAGCAAAGTTGAAGTTAATTCAAATAATGTGGAGGTAATCTCAGCACTCAGAGAGGGCTACTCTTCTTCAATGGCCAGCGCGATATTTGATGATTGTTATTTGATGATTGTTATTTGATGTCCTTAGATTTCAGTCATATTATTTTTGAGCATTGTTTTAGAAAGAACAATAAAGTAGCCCACAAATTAGCTAGACTAACTAGATTCACTCCTCCTAATGTATGGATAGATGCAGCCCCGATGCCTGTCATCCCCCTCATTGTCTCATATGCTACAATTGTAGCTAATTAATAAAGAAGGTCTTTATAAAAAAAAATGAACGAATGATGTTACTACTGTCACACGTGTGGAAGTTATCGGCGTTCACAAACTAAAGTTGATATAGCAACTAACGGCCCCAGTAGCGCGTCGCGTAGGACGCTCGGCCTCGCCGCGGGCGAGCTATAGACGCGCCGGGGTGGAGTGGGCAGGACGATTATTTTGGCATAACCACGATCGAGTTATTTTACCATCGGCCCCACTATCATCATTCATCAGTCAATCATATCACCAGCTGCTCCTTTTACGGTTGGAGTGCCCTCGACGTGTTGATTCGTGAGTACTACTAGCTCCTAGAAGACGCGGATGCTCCGAATCGGATCACGCAAAGGCGTTCCCACATATGCGTAGTGCGGTTGCCAGCGCGCGGCACACAACAGGGGCAGAGGTTCCAGCCAGATAGTCTAGCGCTGTAGGCGAAGCTTCGCCTCCCCTCTGATTGGATCACTGGAAGCCTTGAGTGGAACCAAAGCCATTCCAGTCCCATTCCATTCACACCCCGCGCCCACGCCGGTCCAGAAAAGGGGAGATTTGGCACAAGTTCGGTTCTCAACTGAAAAATCTGCGACGACTGTGTATAAATAGACCCTAGCTCCGACCTGCTGTCGAGCGTAGAACGACAGCAGTTATCCACTTTATCAGGGATTTCATCAGCCGAGCATGGCGTCCTTCTCTGCCGCTCTCGTCGCGCTGCTGGCCGCGAGCTGCGTCGCGGCGGCGGCGGCTACGACGTTCGACGTCGGCGACGGGCACGGCTGGCAGACCGGCCTCGACTACACGACCTGGACGTCCGACAAGACCTTCGCGGTCGGCGACACGCTAGGTAAGATACATATATAGCTCGCTACAAGTAGCTAGCCACTGATCATCACACGTAGGAGTATTATTTTATGTATAGCACGTGTACGTACGCGTACATGTTGGCGAACTGACCATTCCTGCGCAGTGTTCAACTACACGAGCAAGGCGCACACGGTGACGGAGGTGAACAAGAGCGGCTACGACGCCTGCACGGGCGGCAACTCGCTGAGCAACGATGACAGCGGCGCCACCACCATCATGCTCACCACACCCGGCGTGCACTACTTCATCTGCGACGTCCCCGGCCACTGCGCCGGCGGCATGAAGCTCGCCGTCACCGTCACGGTCGCGGGGGGCTCGACGACGGGAGGCACAATCCCTGCCGGCGCCGCCGGGGGATCCCTCGTGCCGGCGATGAGCGCCATCGTTGTCGCCGCCGCCGCCGGGGCTCTGGTCCCGCTCGCGCTGTTCTGTTGAAGACCGTCGTCGACGTTGGTGGGTATGGTCAGGGCAGAGACGCTGCAGTTTGATTCGTGTGTACGGTTAATAAGTTCGCTGTGTTTTCTGCTACGTTTTCTGGCGCGCCAGTCTTCACCATGCACATGACGTGTTCGTTGGTTTGTGGTGCGGCCTTTGTGTGCCGCTGGAGTGTCGTCGTGATGCCTGAGCATTCATTGTGTGATGTGGGCAACTAAAATTTCTTCCTCTGATGCAAAGAAACCTCGAAAGTCATCTTCTGTTCGGCTGCTCCCGAGCTCATTTGAGCCCAGGATGAACAGTAAAATTCAAACAAAATGATTTTTTTTGTGTGCAAACATTGATAAACGCTTTACGTGCTTGCAAAATTTCATGTTGAAAAGACATTTTTGGAAGTTGTGGAAAAAAAACAAAATCAGCATTCCAAAATTCTTTCAAAAATAACATTTTTGGAGCATCAAATTTTTTTGCCACGATTTCCAAAAATGTGATTTCAAGATGAAATTTTGTGAGAACTTAAAAGTTTTGTCAATGTTTGTATTTTTGAATTCGTTTTCATTTTTTAAAATTTTACTGTTCACCCGAGCTCAAATGAGCTCGGGCTTAGAAACTCCACCTCCGCTTAACCTTTTTTTCTTCAGGAATACGCTTGAGAGCGTATCTTTTCATTGATAGAAAGAAAGAAAGCACAGGTACACGCCACGTACACGAACACTAGCAGGCGTGTCCGTGGCGATCAAACGAGCAGACAGAGAAGAGGGTGCTCAGCCTCGCATACATAGTCAGGTTACATGGATAAACTCCTTCAGCCCTTTGGCTCCGGCGCTAGCGCATAAGTGAGCCTCCTCCTTAATAGCATCAACGACCATTGATGTAGCAGGAGAGATCTTGTCGAAGATGACCGAGTTGCGATGGTGCCAAATCATCCAAGCCGTGACATTAGTAAATAAAAGGCCTTTAGTCCCGGTTCATAAGGGCATTTAGTCTCGATTCTGGAACCGAGACTAAAGGGTCGTTACTAAAGCCTCCCCTTTAGTCCCGGTTCTTATACGAACCGGGACTAAAAACCCTTCACGTGGCCGCTACCTGGAGGTCCACCTTTAGTCACTAAAGAAATTTTATGATTTTTTTTGAATTTTTTTTATTTTCAAATTTCTGAATTATTTTAACCTCTAATCTCTAATCACCCCTCATCACTGCTCAATTTAACATTTAATCTCTAATCACCCTTCATCATTCCAAATCATCTAACTTCCCGAACGGTCACCCATCCTATCACTACTCCAGCCTGAGCACGCTTAACTTCCAAGTTCTATTCTCCCTCGTTTCCAAGTTTGCACTTGTTGTTTTCTTGATAATAGTAAGATGTCAATCCTATTAACCCTCAGGAATTTAGCTTGAGCATGAAGTCACACATTTCACTGTTTGAGTTTAAAACTATTGTTTAAAAAACAATAATTATTTAATAACACTAATATTTCTTGAATAAGTAGTTTGACCACAGTTTGACCCTAGTTTGACCACAGTTTGACCAGATTTGAGCAAAATTCAAAAAAACTGAAATAATTATTTAGTAACACTAATATTTCTTGAATAAGTAGTTTGATCACGGTTTGACCATATTTGACCAAAATTCAAAAAAACTGAAATAATTATTTAGTAACACTAATATTCTTGAAAAATTATTTAGTAACACTAATACTTCTTGAATAAGTAGTTTGACCAGATTTAACAAAAATTTAAAAAAAACTGAAATTTGAGCATAATTTTTTTTCCTTTTAGAATTTGAGGATTCTAAAAATTTGCAAACTGGCCGTAGGCCATCAAAATCGGAAGCGGATTTTCGTTCTGAACATTTTGATATATTATACGTTTTTTCCCGACATCGTATGCAAAAGTTATAGCCGTTTTACATTTTCCCTACATTTTTTATAAAACATGTCCAAATTTAAGTTTTTAAATTTTCCTAACTAGTAGATGTAGTAATATAACTACCTCTCGAAGGATTTTATTTTTTGAAATTTTTATCATTTTCTTTTGATTTTTTCGAAACAAAAAAGGCGATCCACTAGGGGGGGGTAGAGTTTGAAAATGGGACCTTTAGTCCCGGTTTGAGACACAAACCGGGACTAAAGGGTGCACTCCCGGTTTGAGACACAAACCGGGACTAAAGGGCATCGCACCCTTTAGTCTCGGTTCATACCTCAAACTGGGACTAAAGGGCTCATGTGAACCGGGACTAATGCCTTAGCCGCACGAACCGGGACCAATGCTCACATTAGTCCCGGTTCGTGACTGAACCGGGACTAATGGGTTGACCCGGCCTGGACCTTTGCCCCCTTTTCTACTAGTGTGAGGCCTGCCATGGTGGTGAAACCTCTGCGGTCAGCGGCTGCAATGGTCTGGAGGCAGGTGGACAACCAGGCGAAGAGGGGGAAAGAGCCGTCCAGTGGTTGAACCGTCGATCGACACCAGGAGAGCACCTCGTGCCAAGTCACTCTCGCGAAGATGCAGCCCACAAGGATGTGGTGAAGGGTCCCAGGCTCTTGCAGGCAGAGCGCGTAGGTTGCCGGATGCGGCAGGCCCCGACGGGCAAGCCTGTCGGCCGACCAGCAGCGATTAAGGGCAGCCAAGTACAGGAAGAATTTCACCGAAAGAGAAGCGCCAGATTTCCACACGAGCCGCCAGTGCTCGGAAGACGTGGAGCCCTCGAACAAAGCCGAGTAGTAGGAGGAGGCCGAGTAGATGCTATTCGCGGTCCAACGCTAGTGGATGGTGTTGGGGAACGTAGCAGAAATTCAAAATTTTCCTACGTGTCACCAAGATCTATCTATGGAGAGACTAGCAACAAGGGGAAGGATAGTGCATCTACATACCCTTGTAGATCGCTAAGCGGAAGCGTTCAAGTGAACGGGGTTGATGGAGTCGTACTCGTCGTGATCCAAATCACCGATGATCCTAGTGCCGAACGGACGGCACCTCCGCGTTCAACACACGTACAGCCCGGTGACGTCTCCCATGCCTTGATCTAGCAAGGAGAGAGGGAGAGGTTGAGGAAGACTCCATCCAGCAGCAGCACAACGGCGTGGTGGTGGTGGAGGAGCGTGGCAATCCTGCAGGGCTTCGCCAAGCACCACGGGATATGAGGAGAAAGAGAGGGAGGGATGCACCAACGAGAGAGATCAAATCGCGTGTCTTGGGCAGCCCCTAGGCCAAGTATATATAGGGGAAGGGGAGGGGCTGCGCCCCCTTTAGGGTTTCCACCCCTAGGGGTGGCGGCCAGCCTAGATCCCATCTAAGGGAGGCGGCCAAGGGGGAGGGGGAGAGGGAGGCGCACCAGGATGGGCCTTAGGGCCCATCTGCCCTAGGGTTTGCCCCCTTCTCCTCTCCCTTGCGCCTTGGGCCCTTGTGGGGGGGGGGGGGCGCACCAGCCCACTTGGGGCTGGTCCCCTTCCACACTTGGCCCATGAAGCCCTCCGGGGCTGGTGGCCTCACTTGGTGGACCCCCGGGACCCTTCCGGTGGTCCCGGTACGTTACCGATAAAACCCGAAACCTTTCCGGTGACCAAAACAGGACTTCCCATATATAAATCTTTACCTCCGGACCATTCCGGAACTCCTCGTGACATCCAGGATCTCATCCGGGACTCCGAACAACATTCGGTAACCACATACAAACTTCCTTTATAACCCTAGCGTCATCGAACGTTAAGTGTGTAGACCCTACGGGTTCGGGACACATGCAGACATGACCGAGACGTTCTTCGGTCAATAACCAACAGCGGGATCTGGATACCCATGTTGGCTCCCACATGCTCCACGATGATCTCATCAGACGAACCACGATGTCAAGGACTTAATCAATCCCGTATACAATTCCCTTTGTCTAGCGGTACGATACTTGCCCGAGATTCGATCATCGGTATCCCGATACCTTGTTCAATCTCGTTACCGGCGAGTCTCTTTACTCGTTCCGTAACACATCATCCTGTGATCAACTCCTTGATCACATTGTGCACATTATGATGATGTCCTACCGAGTGGGCCCAGAGATACCTCTCCGTCACACGGAGTGACAAATCCCAGTCTCGATTCGTGCCAACCCAACAGACACTTTCGGAGATACCCGTAGTGCACCTTTATAGTCACCCAGTTACGTTGTGACGTTTGGCACACCCAAAGTATTCCTACGGTATCCGGGAGTTGCACAATCTCATGGTCTAAGGAAATGATACTTGACATTAGAAAAGCTTTAGCATACGAACTACACGATCTTGTGCTATGCTTAGGATTGGGTCTTGTCCATCACATCATTCTCCTAATGATGTGATCCCGTTATCAACGACATCCAATGTCCATGGTCAGGAAACCGTAACCATCTATTGATTAACGAGCTAGTCAACTAGAGGCTTACTAGGGACATGGTGTTGTCTATGTATCCACACATGTATCTGAGTTTCCTATCAATACAATTCTAGCATGGATAATAAACGATTATCATGAACAAGGAAATATATAATAATAATCAATTTATTATTGCCTCTAGGGCATATTTCCAACAGTCTCCCACTTGCACTAGAGTCAATAATCTAGTTCACATCGCCATGTGATTAACACTCACAGGTCACATCGCCATGTGACTAACACCCAAGAGTTTACTAGAGTCAGTAGTCTAGTTCACATCACTATGTGATTAACACTCAATGAGTTCTAGGTTTGATCATGTTGTTTGTGAGAGAGGTTTTAGTCAACGGGTCTGCAACATTCAGATCCGTATGTACTTCGCAAATTTCTATGTCATCTCCTAGATGCAGCTACCATGTTCTATTTGGAGCTATTCCAAATAATTGTTCTACTATACGAATCCAGTTTACTACTCAGAATAATCTGGATTAGTGTCAAAGTTTGCATCGGCGTAACCCTTTACGATGAACTCTTTTACCACCTCCATAATCGAGAAAATTCCTTAGTCCAATAGTTACTAAGGATAACTTTGACCG